GGAGGAGGAGGAGCGGTCTGGTGAGGAAGGCCCGCGGCAGGACCGCTTCCGAGAATGATGGCGTCATCCCAAGTCTTCTTCCTTCCATCTTTCTCGTCACCCCCCCTCATTCCCCCTCCTCCTTCTCACAGTTTCGCACGCCTGCGTATACGATCAGTCCTGGCTCCTTGGTTGCGAGGGTGATGGCGGCATCGCGGCCGATGCCCGTGGACGCCCCAGTTACCAGGACCCCGCCAGTGGTATGGGAGGTATAGGGGGACAAGGCCAACCGGTCGATCAAAAAAGGCAGGTCCAAGAGCAAGGCCAACGTGAGAACGATCACTGTGTGCCAGGGTCGAATGCGGTAGAGCTCGCCGACGGGCTTAGAGGCCGGACGGGGGGGTATTTGTGCTGAGGTGGGGGGAGGTGGGGAGGCGGAGGACGAAGCAGCCTCAGGGACGGCTTTGACTGGCGTGGCAGATTCACCCATGGTGGTACGGGCTTGATTTCGTTGTCGTGTCCGTTCTACACACGTGTGAAGAGCAGGACGCACGTGAGTGAAAAGGGATGGACAAAGTGTTCTCCGCATGGCGGCTCGGTGCTAATCGAAGCCGGCGATGTGACTATGCCAGACGAGGACAAAAGCTCCAAGCCCTTTTAAAAACTCTACGGGCAGGGACGGAAACAGGAATGCTGCACATCCAAACCTCTTGACGCATGTCCCTCACACCCTGCTAACCCGGTCATGACATCGGCGCCGTGTTCCTGTGGCAGTGTTTACCCATGATGGCGTTGCCCTAAGGCCTCAGCGGCCGGGAGGGTTTTCGCGCAATTTTTTCCTTTCCCCTCTACGAGCGTGCACTTGCCACCTGCTAAATGGGCGCTATGACCCCAAGTTGGCAAAGGGAGACGCGTCTGGACAGCTTTTTATCTGTTGGGCAGAACTATGTGTGGGAATGTAGGCGTAGCGTACGACTCCTCGTGTTTTGCAAGCCCATGGTCGAAGGATGTTCCGTTGATCGGATCCTGAGGAGTACAAGTACTAGTAGAAGCAGGCGATTTCATCCATCTTCGACCTGAATCTCTAACAAGAAAGACAGGGTACGAGGCTTCGAGATGAAGGTTATCTCCCAGCTTTCCAAAAGGGCATCGACGCGCCTGAGCCGGAATCGGAGCAAAAGCAAAGAGGAGGACAAGAGCGGCGGGAACGGAGAACTAGGTTAGTCCGGCTGACATGCCAGGGAGGTTTCTTTTTTTCTCTGAGGAATTATTTAATGGCAGGACTTAGTCAAATAGAAGGGTATAACACTCCAGGTTATACATTACCCGTCAAGTAACCAAAGTTAGATTTTGTAGGGTAACAGGCTCTAGGTTGGCCACCTCTTCTTAGACTGCCTTACCTTTCGACCCTTCTTGTAGAGCCCTCCGTTCTCATATCTCCCAACACATCCGGTTTACCTGCTTTTAATTCAAACGGCAAAATGTAGATGGAGACTGTTGGGCAGGGGAGAAGAAAGTATGCTTTTCTCATTGAGCCCCCGCGTAGTGTGCATGACTACCCAGCCCCTCCTTCTACCTCCTTTCTCTTTACCCTCCCATCACTTAACTTGCCCCTATCTACGCGTTTTTACTCACCACCATAAAAATCACATCTCTAGGCATAGAGGAAGTTGACAGTATGCTTGAGATGGCGGAAACGGGTGCCACTGTTCCGTCACCACCAGAGGTACCGTTTGCAGGCGAAGGAGGAGGAGGAGGAGGAGGAGGAGGAGGAGGAGGAGGAGGAGAAGGAGGAGGAGGTGGAACAGAAGTGGAGGAGTCATCGGCGATGCACGACGAAGCCGAAGGTAAGGAGTTGGACGAAGATGAGCCCGGAAAGATCACGAAACTGGAGCAGACCATGAGCGACCTCCAAGTGGAGGAAGAAAGGGAGGGCCTGCCCGTGGACCCCCCCCGACGCGAGGAGGAGGGAGGGGACGACAGCATGCTGCGAGGCATCTCGAGCCTGGAATTCGAAGCAAGCTTGAGCATGATAGGAAGCGGCGGGGGTTCTTCCTCCTCCGTGGACGGTGGTCGACCGGGGCGGCTCCCGATGGGAGGGGCAGGCCCCGTCTTCATGGCAGGGACGGAGCGCGGTCCAGACCTGGTAGGGGAGGGCGTGGCGGAGGGCGGGACAGAGGGCGGGGGGGAAGGCGGGACGGAGGAGGAGGGCGGCTCGGCCTGCCCCCCGCTGCCTCCCTTGTTCAAGAGCGATTCCTCCGTGAACGTGTACATGCCAACCAAGCTTCGGCGCATGGGGTCCCCGACTGCGATGGGAGGCACTTACGCCGAGGGGATGAACCGGGTGAAGCAGGAGCGGGTGGGGGGGGGCGACGGCAAGGAGGGAGGGAGAGAGGGAGGGAGGGAAGGCGAGGAAGAGCGGCCGGCCAGTCTGGCCACCACGGCCACGGGGGAGGAGCTCATCAACATGGATCATTTCAACAGTACCTCCTCGGTCGTGTCGTCCTCGGGACCCTCGCTCCGGGGCCTGCGAGGGCGGGAAGGAGGGCGGGAGGGAGGGCGGGAAGGCTCGGGGGCCTCCGTGGGGTTAGGCAGTGGTCCGACCTCCCTGGACGACCGTTGCATCGAGGCCATTCTACAACTGGGCGCCTCCTCCGGGGACCATACCCCGTACCCACCGACGACAGCCCCCGCCCTCGCGCAGGGGGAAAGCGTGCCATTGGGCGGGGAGGGCACCTTGTTGCAGACTTCTGTCCGTGGCGGGGACGGAGGGGGGAAGGGGGGGATGGGGGGGGGAGGGGAGGGGGATGGAGGATCTGGAGGTGAGTGTGGCCCATGGAGTGGATTCCCCCGTCTTTGCGGCCGTATCTTCCTCTTCTTCCTCCTCGCAGGCCACCGCCATCCTCCCGCCCCCTCCCCTCGTTCCGCTTGCCCTCCCGTCGGCGTCGTTGAGCCACGGGAGGCGCCCCCCTTGCTCCCTTTTGTGGGGAAAGAAGTGGGGGCGAAGGGGGAGGGAGCTGGCCGCCTGCCCGTCTTCAGGGAAGAGGAGTACGCAGCAGCATCGATCGCGTGGTTTCCCTCCGCGGATGTGACGAGGCCCGGGGGTAAGGTGGAAGGAAGGAGGGAGGGCGGGGGGGAGGAAGGCGTGCACCTGAGTGGGACTACCCGGGCTGCTATTTCCTATTCCTCCCTTGCGCCCGCCCCGACCGGGCACTCGGGTGACGGAGGAAGCTTTTCCACCATGTTAGACTACCCGGAGGTTCCATCCTCGCCCTTGGTCACGTCCGGCGCGCCTCCGGCGGGAAGATTTGTCATGCCCGTACCCCTTCCGCACGGCTTCGCCCCCCCTCCGCATTACCTCCCCACCCTCTCCCCCGCCCCCGGCCCCTACGCGATGCCGGCGGGGACGGAGGCTGGGCGGGAGGGCAGGCCGGAGGTACTGGGGTCGGATGCGTCGCGGTTGGGAGGAGGGGGGAGGAGGGGGGAGGAGGGGGGAGGAGGGGGAGGCAGGGAGAGGGGGGAGGAGGGGGAGGGCATCATAGGCGGCCCTCTACTGGTGGCGGTGGGAGCGTGGTGAGCGTGAGCCGGAGTGGGGGAGGACGGAGCGACTCGGAGGAAGGAGGGAGCGGGGGAGGGAGCGGGGGAGGAGGGGGCAGCGACAAGAAGGGAGGGCGGTACAAGTGTCGGCACTGCGGCGAGATCAAGCGTCAGCACGTCTGCCCCGCCTTGGTGGACGTGCCCCGAGCCAGCACCGGCACCCAGGCCGACATGGCCTTGACTCGAGGGTATGGAAGAGTGCCCGTCATCCCCTTGGAGTTGCACGGCTGCCATTTTTTGAGCGTGCGGGCCAAGGGAGGGGGGGGAAGAGGCTGTGGGGCCGCGACGGGGATGGGGGGAAGCGGCGGCTCTTTAGGAAGGGGGGGCAGCGGGGATTCTTTTCTGAGCACGGGCTCCTCGGTCATGTCCTCGCTCCCTTTCTCTTACGCCTCGCCGCTTGTACACGGGGGGGGGGGCGAGTGGAGGGCGGGAGGGACAACCAGGCAGTCTGAGCATGCAGATACCCGTCCTGCCCCCCCTCCCGGTGCCGCAAGGAGTCATGCTGCCCAACCCAACTTCTTCACACTACGAGCCGTCGCAAGAGCTTTATCCACTTCCATATTCGCAGCAACAGCAGCTGCCATCCCAACAGCAACAGCAGCAACCGCAGCAATTACTCCAGCATGATCCGCGCCATCGACACCCGGGCAACGTTTCCATGGCAATGGGATCGATGCTACCCATGCGTCAACACGATGACGGACCATATCAAATGTGAAGATGTGGACAAGAGTACAGGTAAAGAAGTGTGATTAGCTTGAAAAAAAATTATCTGAAATTACTCCGCATGTAAATTGATATGTTGTTGTGAAAGAGCCCCTGACAGGGTAGGAAGCGAAGTAAACACACTGAAAATGAAGGTCTTATTTACAATGCGAAAGTCACGCTCCCAATTCTGCGGTGAGATTCCGATGAGATTCGGGTAGAAGCATGAAGGACGAAAGAACAAATGATTGACGCCACCTTTGCCACAGCCGTGATGCAGCTCACAACCCGCATGGGTCTTTACCTTTTTGTCTACTTGTACGCATTGATAGTCTGCATGATGACCCGAGCTGCAAAGACGCTGTACCTGAGACACTCAACTTCCTTTTGACCCGATGAAAGTGCGTATGGCCGTCATGTCCCTCGAACCATAACCCTAGGGGGGCGAAGTGATGGGTATGTCAGAAGGGAGGTCGACACAAGGCCCTTTCCACCGAACGCACCGCAACAAATAACACACGGCAGACAGAGATGGGCTTTTAGGACATTTTACTTGAAAACGATGGGCTGGCAGAGATAGGCTTTTAGGACATTTTACTTGAAAACGATGGGCTGGTTTGGTCTATGCGAGAGCATCAGCCCGAAACATATCATGCTTTGAAATTTTACAATGGCCCCCCTCGGGTTTTTCTTCCCTCGGGAATTTTCCTCCGCGATTTTCGGCGCTTGGACCGAAGGAAAAACAGGTCAAGCGGGGGGGTTAACTAAGTCGTATCCCACTGTCAGTGCTTCCTTTCAAACGAAATGTTATTATTATAAGATCATGCGTAGGAATTGAGTTGTTCGTTGGGATTCTCCTTCTGGTATAACATCTTGTGCAATTGACAATAGCAAAAGAAACGTTGTCCTCCATCTCCAAGACACCTTCTCCTATCGCGATACATATCTCAACACGACAGCATCAGCGATATACTCAGAGAGACCTCGGATCTATCATGCTCTTTGTTGACAGGAAGCAGTACGCCGCTTTGCTCACTAGCAATTTGGGAAGTATTACAATTTTGTGGCTGCGCGTGGGGATGGTGAAGAAGGAATATCGAGTGCCTTGGATGGGCCCATGCGAGGCACGGAGGACAACTTATTAGCGCTCTTGGACGATATCAAGCCTCTCCTGGTGCCTTCTTTGAGTGGAGTGTAAATCGGGCGGCAAGCTGGGTGTCTACTCTATGCCCTGGGCGGAACAAGGTTGAGAGGAAACGTGGCTTCTTCTGTCTGTGGTCTTTTGGCCGCTATATCTGACATGGCTATTGACTTTGTGATTGAGCATCGCCGGCTTACACCTGATAACCCTTATCCCACGGCTTCCAAGGATTTGGATGCTGCTTTCGACTTTTTCGTAGATCACCTCTTCCCAAAGCAATACCCGGACGTGCTTATTATCGACAATGTAGAGTTGATGCGAGATCCTTAAGGGGGACGTTTGAGCGGTGTGAATTTCTTTCGAGCTTCAATCTGATTGAGGTAGGCCTTCCTAGCCTTGCGGGCGTAGATAACGCTGCCATCTTTCTCCCCTTTGTACAATTCGAATATCGAATTCGAAAATGTTTGCATCAGTATGTGTCGACGGGCTTCAATCAGGACACCTATTTCCGGGCCAAACGCGTCAATGAATCGAAAAAGATGAGCAAAAAGGTCAGCCTCATTCAATATCTTTACTGCAACTTGTTTAGAGTCCGCCAAGGCTTGTTTATAGGGGATCGACAATTGGACAATGTCTTCACTGTTCTTTCGCCTAAGCGTGTTCAGCGCTTCCTCCCCTTCTCGTCGACTACGGCTAGCTCCAACGCTGGACGAGACTTCGTATTATCTCATCGACTGTTGTTATTCCCTTTATCTCTTGTTCTCGGGTTGCTGCTGCTATCCACGGCAGAGCTTCTTGATGCTTATCGAGAAACATCACTCAATCTCTTTTAGTTAACACTGATGCACTCCAAATGGGCCGTCCGAAGAAGCGCGTCGAAACATGAAGTACAACCAAGTTTTTGGGGTAACATTACTTGGTCTATCTTCTCGTATATGATAAGCACGCAAGAAATCGCTACGCGATTGAAATTGTGCTGCTAGATGAATTTCAAGGTTTTTCCCGGCCCTGCTGTCAAATGACCTTCGTAACGGCTCACGTAACGGATGTCCAAACCCGTTGTTCTCGCGTACAAGGCCGATCTCTGCGATCTCTGCGATCTCTGCGATCCGTGCCTGACTTATTTCGTGTTGGCCTCGCCCGCCATTGATGCCATCTTCATGGATGTTACTGCAAGGAAGATTTTGGAGAACTGACGGTCTTGAATTCGCTTTAGTCAGGATTGTGCTATGTTGCGTTCGCTGAATCTCTTCTGCTTTGTACGATTATACCTATCACTGCTAGCTCAACAAAGTTCATCAACATTTTTCTCTACAAAAACCAGTGCATCATGGAGCTAATAGGATCCGTCTTGATGATCTATTTAGTCGTCAAATTCAACTCCATTGACGACTTCAACCTTGCGCACCGTGTTTTCAACCGATTGCGCTTCTGGATCCCACCAAGCGAGGAGGACATAAAGCGTGTTCTCCAAGCTCCACCGGCCGGCAGTGCGAACAACAAAGCCATGCGGCGCAAAAATGCAAACAGTGACAATAAGAAGAATGAAAAGGTGAACATGACAGCTGCAGACCGCGTCGAGCGACTTGAATTAAAACAGGCTCTCTTACAACAAGGAATGCTACTCAGGTACCGTGATTGGCCCGCCCTAGACCAGATAGTCATGTTCTTTCTATTGGCCATTTTTATGACCTGGTGGCAAGAAGTGTATCATTTTTCTCATCCAAGCGCACGACTGTTCAAAATCGGGAGTCTGTTTACCGGAATTGCGGCCATGGTTTCTCTAAAAGCCCTCCTCGACCTCGTGTGGAAATACGGTTCTTCTCGTACCGCCACCACAATCGATTTTCGGAACGTGGTTACATGGCTTACGGGCATCGTAGGTGCAATAACCGCGTCGAGCATGCTCCTGGTAGCCAAGGAGGGAGGCGGGCTCATGACCATGACGTTCCACCTTGACGGCGTCATGCGGGTGCTAGGAAAACGATGCTTTTCATTCTGTACCGAAACCATAGGCTTGAGCCCAACGTCCTCAATCCTCAAGGTAACAAATAGCGAAGGCGGTGAAGCGGAACAATTTGTGTCGTTGGGTCCAACACGAGCGTTCCTGGTAGGTGTAGCAACTACCATCGCTGTCGCCCTCGTCCCCTCGGCTTTAACTGCTTCTTTCGCATTTGTCCACCGAGAAAAGCTACCCGGACGGGCGCGAGGCAATGCCTTGGTCCGTACATCAGTCGTTGGGGAACCTGTTCTCACATCTTTATGCTGCCTTACGTTTTTCAAACCTCTGGGCCTGGGGCCGGTCCAACGCGCCCTGGCGACGACGACCGCTCCGCTGCCTGCGTGGATACTTCGGGTAGGAACCTCCTACGGATGGCTGCAATTGCAAGCCTGGATGCTTGGTCTGGTGATCACCTTGCGCCTGGTCCTCTTACGGTGGCAGCTGCAGACCTACTTGGAGTACGGTGGCATTCTGTCCCTCTACCAAGAGCTCCACCGCGCAGGCCCCAAACCCGAAGACGTGGATGGTCTCGGCTTGCGCCTCCTTTTCCAACAACGCTTGCAGCGCGTACCCCGAGTGTGCTTGGAAATCATTGCCCCTCTTATCTGGCTGTGCATTCTTCTCTTCCTCCTGGTGAGCAAGTGCTTCCTCCCCCCTTTCCTCAACATCATGGCGGAGATGTGCATGACGGAGGAAGCGCTCCAGGCCTACCTGTCCCCCCGAGGGAAACCATTGCCAGACAGCATCATCGCCGTCTTGCAAAATCTTCGTGGAAAAGGCGGAAAGGAGGGAGCATTGGACTGGCGGGCGGGTGGAGACGTTGTCCATGCCCTGTGGGACTTCCAATGGTTGAGTGAGTCGGAGTGGGGCGATTTGCTCGGCTTTTTTATCTGTTGGACCCTGGGTGCGTGGACCGTGCTGTATTTCACCTGTATTGCCTATCGAAGCATGCATGTACAGATGAGCGATCACTGAGGGAGGGCAGGGAGGAGGGAAGAGCGGTCGGAGGAAGCGCGGAGAAGGACAGATAAAGTATGGAGTGGGACCGCAGCGTCCACGCATGGGGTACCCTGCAGACGGTATTAGAGACAAAACGAAGCATCGAACGAATTAACACATAGTTACAAGTGCCACTAGGCCCGGTATGGTTTGCGTAGGGCTTGATATTCGGTGCTCGGCGTGTTGACCTTGCCATAGCTGTCCCTCCCACTCCTCCCTGCTCCCATAATTTCCCTCCGTCCCCCCCCCCGTCAATCTTGGGCAAGTACGTCTGAAAACTTTCTTTGGCCTAGCGGTGACCTCTGCCTCGTCACTTTCCCGCCTTCCACGCCCCGGCGTACTAACACACCGATGTAAGCAATACTTCATACCTCCTCTATCCCCCCGCGGTCCAACTCCCCTCCACCCCTGCCGCTGTCCCGGCTTACCGCCGTCGGTACTTAACAGTGCAGGGCGCTGTGGGCCCTACCACCATCGCGTGGTAGTTCGGGGGAGGAACGGCACCGTCGGGGGTAGCCAAAGTCAGTTCAAATTTCGAGAAGAGCAAGGAGAGGACGGTTTTCAGCTGCACATAGGCGAATTGTTGGCCCAGGCAGGCGTGCAACCCCCCGCCAAAGGGAACGTAGGCAAAGAGAGGTTTGTGTTCTTCCCGAGGGGGCGCAAACCGGTCCGGGTCGAAGCTGTCGGGCGCCGGGAACAAAGACGGGAGGCGTTGATGCACGGAGGGGGAGACAGCCACCACGCTCCCTTTGGGGACGGTGTAGGCTTTTCCTTCCTGGGACTGGACGAGCAGGTCCTGCCGGCATTGCCGCATCAGCATGATCAAGGGCGGGTGCATCCGCAAAGCCTCTCGAAGGCAATTGAACAACAGATCCATTTTCCCCACCGCGTCGAAATCCAAGGCCCTCAGCGCTGCCTCGGACCCCGTGTCCTGCCCCCGGATGGCGACTTGCTCCGCATAGACTCGGTCTTGCAAGCCCTTATTTTGCGCCAGGTACAAGGCCGTCCAGGAAGACGTGATGGAGGAGGTGTGCTGCCCGGCAAAGAGCAAGGCAATCAGCAAGCCCGTCACCTCGTCGTCGGTGATCTTGCTCCCGTCCTTGTATTCGATGTCCATAAACACCTGGAGGATGTCCGTGCGGGCCTCTGCCTCCGCCGCCCCTGCCGCCCGCCGGCGTTGGATCACCTTGGAGAAGAGCTTGACCATCTCTTTCCGAGCCGCGTCCCGTTTCCAATGCGACGGGATCGGCAAGTTCGGGAACAACACCGAGACGGGCGTGATCCCCTGGTCCAGGTCATTGTAAAGCTTGGAGACCTCCGCGAAGAGCTCCTGGCGGACGTCGTCCCCGTGCAAACACCGGGAAGCGGTCAAAATGATCAAATCGCTGAGCGCCTCACAGATATCCACCTCCCCCGCCTCCCCCCACCCCTTAAAGAATGCCTCCGTTTCCTCCGAAATTTTTTCCACGTACGTCCGAAGCCGGCCCGATTTCAAGGCGTTCGCCGTCCGTTGCATTTGCAAATTCCGTTTCTTGGGGTCCGAGTCGTACACCACGCCCTCCCCAAAGACGGCTTTCATGAACCCGTACACCTCGTCCTGCCCCAGCTCCTTGTCGCTCGCCTTGAAAAATGCCGCGGCCGCCTCCGGGCCGATCAAAAAGGTCATGCGTTGGGTGAAGAGGTTCACGGTGAAGACGCTCCCGTACGTCTGGTAGGAGGATTTGATCAGGTTGATGGGAGACTTCAAGAAGAGGAAAAAATGCCCGAAAAGCGGCCAGGCATTGCCGATGACGGGGGGGGTGTCCTTTCTTGACCTGGGCGTGAGGAGGAAAGACACGCAGATGAAGGCGAGGAAGGCGGCAGAGAGGCCTGAAGAGGGGAGGGGGTAGGGAGGGAGGGAGGGAGGGAGGGAGGGGAGGGGGGGGAAGGGAGGCAGGGAAGGGTGGATTGGATTGTGAGGAATGATGAAAAACAAAACCGAAAACCAGGAGAAATGCCAGTGAAAAAAGAGAACAGGCTGAAAGGGAAAGGACTTTCGAGCTACAACGGATCAGCGCCGGCAAAGACGGGGGCCGCAGAAAGGGAAGGAGAAGATGCAAGAGACAAGGACAGCCAACAACCAAGCCTATCCCCGTGATGAACGATTTTATTTCGCGTGCACTCCAGGGGAAAAAATGGCAGCGTTTCCCTACTATGTCGTCCGTGTATCTAAGAATATATAGCAAGCTCTCGCGCATGACCGATTTCACCGGTAAAGCGAGGAACAACACAGGGAATAATACCTAAGCAGAAAAATGAATGCGCTTCATCAAAACACCACGTGCCCGAGGCTTCACTCTCAGCTTACCTATCGCTGCAAGCGTCCATGGCTGGTCCAAGGGAAGATGCGCGGCTATAAGTTGCTTACTGATCATCATGTCAAAGCTAGAGTGCACCGCGTCGCGTATAGCAGGAGACGTAAGCCGACGGAAGAGGAAACGGAGCAAGGAAGCACCTTTAGAAAACGCACGAAGAAAACTGAAAATGTGGAAAAGAGAGACGGAGAGGGCGAGTGTTAAAAATGGGTTGGACACCCTTGCAGGTGACTGACCGCCACGGCAAATTAATTAAAAACATTTTGATCGCCATCTGGTCTGGAGATCAGAGCTCCAAGCAGGAACAATGTTCCAGGACCCCAAGTCGGATGGCGGTTCCCACCGCACCTACGCACGCACTTATCCCTTGCTCTTCCCACTCGATCGCCTACGAGTGGGCAAGATTCTCTCGAAGCTTGCGAGGTGTGTGAATGGGTGTGGTGTGTATGTATGTAGCCATTTGCGAGCTCAGGCGATGACGAGGCCGATCCGAGCTGCCCACCTCTTTGACTTTCCGAGGGGCGGGAGAAAGTGCCACAATCTCAAACAAAGACCGTGACCAATGGACTACATACTTGCATTTCAAGTATTATATCTATGAGTCTGGACTTATGTGTGTGATTATTGCTTGCCAAGCGATCTTGGATTTCAGGATGATCATCCGACGACAAAGGATATGGTGACATCGCGATATCACCTTTTTTTAGAATAAATGATTGAAATTGGTACATGTCCCCACCCACCCGACAATGTCGCTATGAATATGGTAGATATTCAAATGATTTTATAATCAGTACTGACAAAGGCTTCTCTTTCGCTTTACAGGTAAAATCGAGTGTTATGACCTACGTAAGCCGGAAGAGCCTCAGGCATCCCCCCTCAACGGTTGCCGTCTTCTTCCTTGCTGCGCTTTTATCGCTCATGCTCGTCCAATTCCAAGCGTTTGTTGTGCAGATTCCAACGCCACCCGCCAAACGGGAGGTGAAGCCTCATAGCCTTGCGACCCCGCCGTCCGTACCCACTTCGCCCCCTGCCCTTCTCAAAATGGCAGACGCGGGCCGACGGGTCCTTTCCCCCCCCCCATTCTGCTTTCTTCTTCCATATTTAGTCAGTGCCATCACCATCATATCTCCTGGGCCTGCTGTGGCCGTTCCGCTCGTCCTACGCCCGGTGACAATGGCGAGCACTGCTGTCAAAACCCCGGCAGCAAACCTTCCCCCTGACGTCATCGCCACCGCCCTTCTGAGCCTGGATAAAACCGCCAATCTAGCCCGAGCACTGTCTTCTCCTCCCACCCAGATGCCTTCCACGATCTCTGATACTGTCTCCTCCACAAGCGCGGGTTCTGCGGAGAGTAGCCCCGTGGCCTCAACCTCCTCCCCTGCTTTATACGTCACGGCCCGCGTCGGCGCCCGGGGCCGGGTGCTTGCTTCGGTCAAGATCCCTGTGCCACCCTCTTCGCCCCCGGCCTTTCCGTTGGAAGTCCACTTGAAGGAGGGTGACATTTACGCAGACACCCCCCAGGCCCGGCACGACCTTGCCCAAGCGATCCGATCTTCAGACCTCGTCTTGTCGGCACGTCTGGACAGTGACGGGCGTGCTTCCACGCGTGATCCTAGAGATTTGGTAGGACAGGGCGTTGTGTATAAATTCCAGTCGGTAGACTCGGCACAGTGGTCAAGGGCGGATATTTCTCTAACCGGCCGCGGTGCATTCGGAGAGTTCGTGACCGGGGGAAAGGTGAGGTAACCGAGGTGAAAGAGAAATAAACTACTGTGCAACACGTTTTGCCATATTACTACAAATTCCTTTATATGCGCAGCACACTGAGTGTGCGTATCCTGCAGTGATGCGTCCCGCTATGTCCTCCTTCTAAAACTCGATAAGATGACTTAACAGCGGGCCCATTCTAACGTGCTTAGAGAGTTTTTGTGTTTAAAATGGGTTGTCGGTGATAAGAGGTAGATTGATCTTTCTCGATCTTAGGGTAGTCCTTTTGCTTATGCCGCATTGCACGAGCGTGTCATATTCAAGTGTTTGAGGGCGTGCACTAGACCGGATGGCCTGCACCATGGCGGTGACCGGTCGTGAGGCCCTCGACAACGACTTTGCCACCAGGGAAGTGAGGGGAGATCCCTATCGTTATCTTGTAAAGTGATTACTGTGCCTTTCTCTTCGCTACCGGTACCGTCGATTATGGTGAATTACTATACTAATAATGGGACGGATGGCAACAGAGGGTGAGACTTTGGCGACCCGCGAGTCAATCAGCCGACGACTGTGCGCTACGTGATGAAGAAAGAAGAAAAAATCACGAGAGAGCCTCTTGCGCAGTCCTTATCATTTTGTCTCGAAATACTGTACAGAATTCACACGGGAATGCACAACACTTTCCCGGGGTCATTTCCCATGCCCTCCGATAGCCCACTCAGAGCGTTCGCTTACAATAGGTATGCGCGCGGATTAACAGTAGCTTTCCCAGTCGGCGACGTGCTCGAGTGTGACAACCGCTACCAGAGTCAGAGTAGTAGAGGCGCAGATTCTTACGCTACAAGCGCGTACATTTTTGGCAATGTTTTTAATCCTAGGGATTTCGAAAGGAAGATCCGCCCGGCTTGTGAGACTGGAGGTAGCAAAATCAAAAGGCGGGCTTCGACCCCGCCAGACAGGATAAAGCAAGCCGCTTCAAGCGCCGCGCTGATGCCTATAAACAATATGAAGTAACGTACATCGCCCGTCATTTTCGACAGGTACAAAAAGAATGGTAAGAAGCTTGTCCATAGCCCTGTCCGGGCTCTTCCTTCTCTTTGCTACCACCTGCAGCGCCTTTTCACCTCCCTCCCAGCATGCGTCTCCGTCCACACGGGCACCCGCCCCTACCACTTCTACCCCGCCTCCCATGGCCATGGAAAGTGTCGGAAGGGCTGGGGCGGTGTTTGGACAGCTCGGTGGTGCGTTGGCAGCGTTGGGGGTGCTGGGTTTGCCGTCTCTTCCAGCCGGTACGTGAAATATATGCCGGGGTCGATGGAGGAACGGTAGGAGGCATGTCGTCGCACCGTCCATCGACCTGCTCTCTCGTCACTTTTGCCATGTTTCTTACCTCGTGACCCCTGGTTTCCCAGTGGCGGCCCCGCGTCAGCTGGAGTACATGCCGGGCATCGAAGGTCGGGGATACGGAAAGCCCCGCACAAAATACCCGGATTTCTCCCAGACCCCGTCCGGTCTTCAATACAAGGACGTGCGGGAAGGGAAAGGAAACTCGCCCACGGTGGGGGACCGAGTGGTGATGGATTGGGAAGGGTACACGATTGGGTAGGTTCGGGAGGAGCAGTGAAGCGTCCTTGGCCGCAGCAATCCCGTCCTTCTCCTCCTCCTTTCTTCCTTTCTGGACCGCTCTTTGTCTCGCGGCACTTTCATCCCTTGTACATTCCAATTTATCTTTCCTGTCTCATCTTTTTCATTTGCTATCGCTGTTTTCCCTCCTCCCTTCTCTTGGCCTCCCTCACGCCATCTGTTCCCCCCAGACGCCTCCCTCCTTTCCTCTTTTCCTCGCCTTGATCGATCTCAGCCTTCCTTTCTGTGCTTACCCCTCCTCCTGATCGCTTTAAAGCCACGCTCCCACCTTCCTTCCCTCCCGCTTCTTTTCCGTTTCTCACCCTTAACCCCGTGGCCCTCGCCTTCGTCGTGGACACGTTTACATTCCAAACCTCCTACCCCCCCTCCTTTCCCATCTTTCACTTCAACCTTTTCTGCCCTTTCCTCCCTCTCTCCCTTCTTCCCTCTCTCCCTCCCTCTCTGCCGTAGCTACTACGGCCGCCCCTTCGAAGCGAAGGGGAAGACCAAAGGCGGGGCCTTCGACTCCGCCGACAAGGAATATCTCCGCTTCGTGCTGGGGAAAACGCCGATGATACCGGCCTTGGAAGAGGCCCTTCAAACCATGAAGCCCGGGGGCATCCGTCAGGTCGGCCTTCCCTCCCTCCCCCCCTCCCTCCCTCCCTCCCTCGGGCCATCGTCCTCGCCCTGCACGGTGACTCGACATATCACCCGAGCACCGATGGACCCTCAACCGTCTCCCTCCCTCTCTCCCTCCCTCCCTCCCTCCCTCCCTCCCTCCCTCCCTCTTTCCCGGTCCCAGGTCATCGTCCCTGCCGAGCTCGGTTACCCTGTCAATGATCCTGGCCACGATAGGGTGGGGCCTAAACCCTCAACCTTCTCGGGGCAGCGGGCGCTGGACTTTGTCTTGACGAACCAGGGGCTGGTGGACAAGACGGTGAGGGAGGGAGGGAGGGAGGGAGGGAGGAAGGGAGGGGCGAGATGCACGCCACCCTC